TGTGGGGTTTTGTTCGGGGACCCTGACCCTAGCCTCTGACTCAAAAGTCTGACCCACGAGGCAGTGGGAGAGTGTGGGGTTTTGTTCGGGGACCCTGACCCTAGCCTCTGACTCAAAAGTCTGACCCACAAGGCAGTGGGAGATTGTGGGGTTTTGTTCGGGGACCCTGACCCTAGCCTCTGACTCAAAAGTCTGACCCACAAGGCAGTGGGAGATTGTGGGGTTTTGTTCGGGGACCCTGACCCTAGCCTCTGACTCAAAAGTCTGACCCACAAGGCAGTGGGAGATTGTGGGGTTTTGTTCGGGGACCCTGACCCTAGCCTCTGACTCAAAAGTCTGACCCAGGAGGTAGTGGGAGAATATAGGGTTTTCTTTGGGGACCCTGCCCGGAGCCGATGACTCAATAGTCTGACCTGCTCGGCTGCATTGGGTTGGCCTAACCCGAGGGCGCAGGGAATAAGGCATTACTCTCTCATTCCTGATGCGGCCGCGCATAGCAAGTGCCTTTTGAGCAGCACCGGGCTCTTTGGCTTTAAAAGTATTTCGACCGTATTGGATAATGCGCCGGCGGTCACGGTCAACCGTTGGGCGGTTGGAGTGTGCGGTTTTAGGGGCCGACCTTCTCTAACTCGTCCTTCCTCGGGGGAAGGCAGCATCGCTGCTTCCATACATATGGACATGCTGGTGGCCTGGAGGAAACACCTTACTGCCTTCACACTCCTGTCGCAGAGGACAGTACGACTTTACCCCCATACCGCCTCGTAGCACGAGTACTCGTAGTACGGGGTCTCGCTGCTCTTGGTCTGGCTGTTCCCCCTTGGCCTTCCTGTTGTGGAACGAAGTCCCAGCCAGTGTAGCCCGCGGGATCGTGGGAGCACTCAAGCCCGACCACCACGTCAAGGTGGCAGCTTTAGGTCGGGATAACGAAAAGTGGAAAGAAATGGAACAGGCGGGGGAATCTAGAACTAGTCTACAACAAACCCCAAGGCATCTACAATTCCAACACTCAGTTGGACAACCTAGACAGGAGCTGACAACATGAACGCCACCAACATCAGTTAGCTTCCACACGTTTCGGAAATCGTTCCGCTAACATCCAATCAACCTCACCCACCGGTTTCTTCTCTTTTCATTCTAAGGCTTTAATATAGTCAGATAAACCTTTTGGTTGTATGGCAGTGTTAACACTGATGCTTCTGTGCCTGATGACGAGTTGGCCTGACTGGCTGGAGTAGGATGTGACTGTTTAGTACTACAGAAGCTTTCTTCAGTTCTTGAGCTTTTGCGATCCACTCGCCCTGTCTATCCTTAGGCTTTTCATTAGTCGAAGTTTAGGGGACTTCAGCGCGTCATCACAGTCGTTTGCTGGCGACATACTTTATTTGGTTTCAATAAGAGTGGATGACAGTAAAGAGATCCGGTGTTCATTGGGGTGTGCGATTGACCGGGAGAAGACATTAGTAAAAGCTTCCATCACCTGTCTCCAATCGTCATCGCCATCATAACCATCGTACAGGTCGATTTATGAGAGCTTACGAGTCAACTCGAATCGATATTGTTGAGCTACAAACACGCTTTGCAGGTGGTGAACTAGATGGCTTTGCATCCATCGACATGCTCCAAAGACGATGTGAGTAGTTAGACGTGATGTTGCGGCTATTTCATGTGGAAAATGACCGATTTGTTAAACCATCCGAGACAAGTGGGTTAGCAATCCTGTCCTGAGTTCAAAGATTTAGAAAACATAAACAGAAGGCCAAGAGTACCAGCGGTTTCCTGGGTGCGGAACGAGAATTAGTTACGATATTCCGAGGGTCTTACCAGGAACTAAAATAACACCTACATAACCAGACTATGAAGCAAGTACGTGCGTCTGAGTGTTCATAAATAGCGCGGGCTAAAGAGATCACCTCCAGAAGAGACCGTTTTGAACAATAAACCAGTCTAAATATAGGTAGTTTCTCCAGGGTTTGACAACTAAGCATCCACACAGAAGGAAGAAAATAGCTATAATATTATATCGGTCTGTGTTCAAAAGTACTGAGCCTTACGTCCTCCTGCAGCGTGAATTGCGTGACCGATTCTTCGAAACCCCTTTAAGTGATTATTGGCATTATCATATTCCCTCCCCCCCCCTCAAATAGTCCATTACAGCCGGCACAAGGGATCAAAACAGTAAAGCCACTTGCTGAGAATCGATCAAGAAAGTGCAGTCAACATCAGGTCAGAATGTGTATGTACAAATGCGTTACAAGTTCAAAGAAATGCTTGTCTGGAAAAAATTTTTGTCATAGTCAAGGGTGAATTTTGACGAACAGCCCAAGTGAGGGATCGGTGATGTGCCAGCGAGAAGCTTCGAGAAAACCATACACCTCATCCAAGTCGTCCACATGCCGAGGACGATCAAATGCTGAGGAGAGGACGTAAGGTTCTAGAATAGGGAGAAAATAGAAGACAAAAGTAACAAAGACGGTGTGAATGTCTGGTAAAACTATGCGATGGTTTTGATATTACAACCGAGATGTTCATCCCATACAACTGTTTCATGACTGCTGGATTCGAATTCACCTGGAGATTCATGAGGCGCGCACGGATGATTTTCAATAAGGATAAAATAGCTATACAGTGCTTCTTGGCATGAATTAACCTCACTTACAGATATAGCGATGTCCAACAAGCTTTACTCGTGATTCCAACATATGATCACATTAAGTGTCAACAATCAGTTGTTTGTCCTAGCGACACGGAGAGAACAGTCATAATACACTATTTTCGAAACTAATAATCCTGGAAGTTGGCTCAATATCAGAGTCTACATGAGGAACTTTGAGATACCGCAAAGTATATACCTTGGGCCGTTCGGCGACGCCTAGAGTGGAAACCCTGAATACGTACCCGCTTCCGCTCTGTCTAGACCCAGCAAACTTAACTAATAAATCGACGGAAAAATAACCAAAAAAACAGAAGTAAACCGGAAAGTTCAGGCAATTTCGACAGTGGCACTTACAAGAGGAACCCATCCTTCTTCAAAAATAAAATATTGAGAGCATTCCGGCGTTGCAACCGATTTTAATCCGGCTGTGATATGTCAGCATAGTGAAAAGTCAGTGTTTAGCCCTGATGATTACAGCTTCATGATACTGCCTACTGATCTCGATTGGACGTCCGGTACAAAAAGGTTGTGGATAGCGTAATACATCAAATAATGAGTTGTGCCATAAGACGTGGGCTCAACGGCCGATAGCCGTAAGGACAATCCAGAGTACTTTGACTCAATTGATCAGTGGACGTTAAGTAGTGTGGTTGTTCACTCCAATGACTGACCCAGGTCCTCAAGGAATCATGTATAGTGAGATAGTCCCGTTTCACAATAGGTCAGTCATCTTACTAGAAGAAAGTCACGAGACGCTCAACAAATAAGGCAAAGAAGTTACGGGTTATCTACGTAGGGGCGGCAGTATCGTTAACAAACAATGATCCGCTGAAGTCCTTGCGTGCTGCTTCATGAAGGTGGACCGGTAGGTCTTGTGCCTCTCAACTTGCTCTTCTCTGGCGTAATGTAAAAACGTGGTTAATAAATCCCTTACAAGTTCGAAATTCCACTTAAAGTTGCTAAACTTGTGTGCAACCCCCTGGGCTAAGGTGTTGCGACATTATGGAAACTAGCAGCCGTGTTACGAAGTGTTACGGCGTAAAGCTTATGCGTCTGCGGTTAGAATAGTAATGCCGGATACTTTTTTGGAACCAGGATACCACGAGTAATTGACCGCGACTGTCCAAAACAGGTTATTGTTCACAAGTTCAAACAACTTGGTTAAAATAAAACAAAAACATCCATCAATATTTTTAAACAGGTCGATCCAAAATGGCTCCCGTAGGCTATATTACCTGAACTTTTCGATGACATTACACCCGTGTCCATATACAGGCTGATGTCTCATTGACATCCTAAGCAAACCATGGCCTGAGTCCGAAGGGATAAGAATCTGGTATGAAGAGTACCAGCGACAGTTGTGATCTACGGATTTCTGTGTGCGTGCCCGAAAGCCCCACGTGCAAAGCTTTCACAAATAGCTATAGTCGACTGTTCCCAGTTGTGGTCAGTGTCCCCGGGGATGCTGCTCGTAAAGAATCGTACATTTATGTTTGAGGTTCGCAACTCTAACTTGGAGCGGAAGCAGAACTCACCTGGAGAATACTCCTGAGAACACATCGCTTGTGCACGTGCAAGTGCGCGGGCGTAGAGTTCGGACGCATTCGCATCTAACATGGCATGCTGCTGCACAACGGACTCTCCTGGTACACATGAGCTCACCGAGGTCGTGGACAGGTTACTTGCCGTAGCCGTTAGCCCACCGGAGGAAGTTGTACCGGCCTCACCGGCACTGGAAGTCCCGTAAAACTGAGCAGCATATTGCGACGCATAGTACTGCTGATAATACTGCTGGTAAGCTTGATAGTATTCAGCTTGGGCTGCCGAACTTCCAGTCACAGCGGCTGCAACCGCCGCTGTGAACGGATCAGGCATACCTAAGAACCGAGAACAAAGAGTGCTAAATTGGATTGAGCAGTGAAACCCGGCAATATGACAAGGTACACATACAACTTCGCTGAGCTCGACGGATTCACGTTTCAAAACACGAGCTACGTTGTGAAAAAGACAGCGAGACAGAAAAAAGCTCCAGCCGGATGCCAGAGAAGCAAGCTTTCGTCAATAAGTTCAGCTGATTGGGCATATATGACTACGTAAATCATATGTAAGCAGGCTATCCAACAGAAATACAAAAGCCGCATTAAGTAAAAACTGGTGAGAGAGATTTCTGATAAATATCTAAATAAAAGTAAGAGCAACATCTTACCCCGTCAGATAAATCTAAAGGGCGGTTGGTTAACATACCTCTATTTGATTGATAAACGAGGTAACAGCAATAATTCATCTTGGGACGTTCGACGCCGCCTAGAGCCGAAAACCCACAGAATGATGGCCCTCCAAAATCTGTTTCATCCACTCTGCCGAGATCCAACAGAGGTAACTAATGATTCATTGGGCGAATAACCAACTCCCTCCCCATAAATAAACAGCAATCATTTTAGCACCTAAAGAGTCTGAGGCAGTAGCCTTCAAAGGGGGTGATAGCACACCCTGGGGGGTTTCGTTTTTCAACGGGAAGGTGATAGTATAGTCTATATGGCGTAAAAGTGGCACTCGAACCAAAGTAAGCGCTGAAGGACGGCTACAGTCAAATGGAAAAGTGATGTATACGAAAGTGTGCGCGCCACGATAACAATTCACTCTTCTACCTGTCACAACACCGCGAAAACTTCACGTCACTGTACGAGAAACTTAATAAGTCCATGTCACCAAAGTTCAGTGGAACAAAGTTAACTCAACGGGGAACAGTATGTCTTGAATTCTAGCATGAAGGTATTACGTCTCCACCTTATTATCAAAACTCGTGCGGGAAGACCGACTCCCCCATCCCCCATACCAGAAAAAAGAGCGATGTGAGTAATGTCAAAAAATGTTCCGAATTCATCGTGGTGCTGGTCATTCCATGACTCTGTTCAAAGACACATGGTGAATTCTCAACCAGTGCCTGTCCAGCCAATTTACGTCTAACTGAGAAAAACAGACCGTCATAAACAACCGATGTGAGTCGATGGTATCCACTCTCAAAGAGCACTCGCAACGAATGTAGCAACCACAGGCATACGTTTAACTCCCGTTGTAACAAGGCTTCTAGCTTCACTGATTCATCACCGTCTTACGGAGGCACGCGAATCAAGCGTAATTTCCACCGGATAGAAGCCGCATCGATCATATCTTCATATTTTGTCGGGTGTTACAGCAACGCCATGCTCTTCACAAAATTTGCTCCACAAAGGATGCCCCAGAAGTTTGTGGACACTATCCTATACTCACATAACATTAGATGACTGAGAGCATGCAGTGAGCTCTCTAGAAGCTTTTCTGTAAAAGGTGGGGTTCGAAAAGGACATCCACTCTCTGTTCAAATTCAACATCGTCGTCGATGAAATGCTGAAGCGAACGCCGATGTTCAGGTCTTTGCTGGTGAGGACCTTGTCGACCCGGAATACGCAGATGATATCGTCTACATCCTCGAAAACGAAGGCGAAGCACAAAAGCTGTTAAGTACGTTGACCATCGTCATACCATTTTTAAGCATGCGCCTGCACTTCCAGGGCTAAGTCATCATTCAGAAGGTGCAGTCTCCAAATACATTCCTTACAATGTAAGGAGAATTACTGAGATTTGTGAAGCTCACATAAGTGTGTGTTGAAGTCAGCGCATGAATTTCAAACGGCAGAATCCCGTTTACTAATTTGCATCGTTTGTGGCGTCAAAAAGGCATATCACTGGGCCTTAAGGGTTGCGCTTCCTAGATTATCGTGAGGGCTGTATTGTTGTATGGTTGCGAGACAGAGTCTAGCGGATATACGATGTGAAGGATCTTTGGGTTGTTCAGCACCTCAGAAGCGTTACTGGTGTCGGCTGGCNTGCGGATAGTGTCAACAAATTCATAAAGAGGCAATAAGAAAATGGCTACTTGGTTGCGCGATATGTACTTCAGTCGTTAAAAACATAAAGCACCACCAAGTGCGGTGGCTCCGCCATGTGCACCGCCTACCCAGACGTGTGTCGCTATCCGTGCTTCTTCCAGAATGGCGCGACCTGCGAAGTGGACGAAGTACAACTTGGCAGAAGAGTGGGAAGTACATTACGAGAATTTCGGGTGTCGTTTGGTACGGCACGCCTCTCAGGATTGGATACCCATGACCTCTACTGCTCTGATAAAACACAAGCCATTTGATCTCTGTGAAAATCTACACCAGCAACTAAACAACTGTCCCACTGTTCTTAGGCTATTCACAGAAGGTAACGAAAAAGCCGAAGCTAGTCCTGTTGCCACCAATCAGATTGTTGAGCTCACCGACAAAGGCTTCAGGGCAAACAACACTACAGCAGCTCTCGAAATAATCTCTACCGCTAATGAGTTCTAATAAGAGTGAAACTCAAGTCCAGTGCTTCCACCCTTTGGTGTGGACTCAGAATACTTAGTACAGGACGACTGTTATAAACGACAGTGATGTGAATTCCAAAAATCCCACAAACACCAAGAAATACCAGAATAACTGTGAACAGCAAATTACTCAGGGGTGGCTAAGTCTCATGAACAGTTAAACCTATTGAGCTATTCAAGACGCCTATGCCCATGTGGTTACAGACATGATTGTAAAGATGAGTAAAATGTACACCAAAGGAACACCAGTCGTTCTGCTGCATCCACTATGAAGGCCCAAACTATGGATAAGCGCGTCATGGATCTGCGTTTTCAATGCCGACTTTAATCAGTTATTTTCGTGACATTTGCTTGGAGTTGCGTCGCGAAATGTACTCTTAGACGGGACGGTGACCATAAAGTAAGAATGGGAGAAACCAAGATGCACAAAACTCACCACTTGGGACAATCGATGATGTAGTTTCCGAACTGGACGTCGTTACGGCAACGCTGCCATCTGCATTATATCTCTTGGGGATAGCCAAACTGACACGAATCGGTTTGTATCCGAGGCCACAATAGTTCTGCATTTCAATCAATGCCTTGTCCATGTCCGATTCAGTTAGGAAACGGACAAAACCATAGCCGCGTGATTTGCCGTTGGTCATCACCACTAGATTCAAGAAGATGAACAACAACTTAAATAACTCACCTTTTGCAGAACGACAAGTTGGATATTTCTTGAACGCGTTAAACAGTGCCAAATCGTCCACATCTTCGGTCAGCTCACCCACAAACAGTGAACATTCGCTAGTGACAGATGCGTATGTGGAATAATATGCTTACTTTGAAGAATTGTCTTTTCCGTAGCTCGCATGGTTTAATTTGAAGCGTTTGGTCTACGCAAGACAAGAGGGCGATGCATGAGCTGTCGAATACGGTGAAAAAAGTTACGGAAACCGTACAAATAGTATGGCACCGGTTTTAACCTAACAGCTTAGAGCTGAAGTGGCGGAGGACATAACCACACAACATTGAGGTCCAAGTCTCTAAACCACATTTCGCGACCCTTCATGAATCGAGAACGACACTGCCACCTCCCAAAGTACATGTGGAACTACGTTCAGAGGGTCTACGTTCCAAGCTGTTCGAAAAGATAATCGAAGCATGAAGTTCAACATCTCAAAGGAATTTAGACGTCCAATTCACAGTCGGTAAAACATGCGCAAGAAGTGTACGTCTAGCTATGAGACAATCAGGGAGAATGCAGCCTAAGGGGTGGATAAAAACTTCTTAGTTAGATCTATACCATGAAGGTTGGTTATGTGAATGCTTCGAGAGTCGCACTCGGTCCTGTCATAACGAATTTATTAAAAACTACTGTATGCAGCTCAAAATTATTTACCCGAGGAGAGGTATCTCCAAGAACGCGGGTCATTCAGCAACCTGCGGCCAAATTCTTAGCACTTCTTGCACCTTATCAAGCACCTACTTATCAAGCACCAAAACAATGTACCAAACCAAAGAACGAACTGCGGTGAAGAGGTCCCAAATTCATTGCAAGTTTTGTGAAAAGTCTTAGCTGAATTCTCTAAAGGTGAACCTCTTCCTCGCATGAGTTTGAAAACCGTAACGCTCATTCAACCATTGGAACGGTGGTACCAGGATACGACGGATTCCGAGTCTAGGGACAAAAGCAGCAAACACCAATAGTCATCTTGATAAGATTGGTATGACTAGCCATCAAGTAAGGCGAAGGGAAGGCGCACGAACAGTTCTTTTGCGGAGCTACCACTAATCTGAGTAGACATTGCTTCTGAGGTTAAAGTGCGCTATGCCCAGGCTAGCCCTCAACAGGAGACACGACTGCATCCACGCACTGGTTCTAGGTTGGATACCAATCTAGACTGTTTTCATCAGCCACCACCAAAAGCAATTTCTTGAGTGAATTCCTTCCATCCACAAGGCAAATGACTGCATCAGTGGTCATCATCACTACATCCATAACATTAACTTCAGTGTTGACACCATAAGGTTAGTCTAATGATATTTAAAGTCCTAGGGTGGAAACAAGAGAAAAGGAGTGGGTGAGGGAGGGGACCTAGTGCTGGCCCATTTTGAGGTGCCTACACCTCCAAGTACTCAATCAGACAATCCGGAAGGAAACTTATGGCACAAACGCCACTGACATGGATTAGCCGCCATTTCTTGCAACGTCTCCATGGACCCCACCCTGGAGGCCGTACAACGCCAAAAACACTCAAACTATTTGTGACCACTTTTACGCCCTTCTACCAAGTCATACGTTGACCACCTCGCGATCTGCGCCATTCTGATGGAGGCACGGAGTTGATCGACTAATGGTTGTCGTGTCTGCTTATGCCCCAACTGACTGTAGCTTTGACACTACCAAAGACAATTTTTATAACACCTTGGGTATCCTGTTGCAATGAGATAAAAGGTCAGATATGATTGAATGCCCAAGTGAGCAGACTTAGCTCATCTACACTCAAGTAGGTGGTCGACATGGATTGGACTCGGTACGTAAGGACAACGGGGAACAATTGTTTCAGCTGTGTGCTGATCGCAGGCTGTTTATATGCAGTGCTGACTTCCGAAATAGCCGAAGTCGTCTGGCCAACAGCGTGAGCGAAAAAATCAAGGATTATAAGGGATTTACCATTTTGAAGAAAGAGCGCCTCGACCGGCGGGCCGAATACTTCGAACATGTATCGTGGCCAACAGTTGCTGCTACCTGAAGTAGAACCGTGGACGGTCAACGCGGAACCCACTAAGGCCTCTAAGGTTGAGGACTGAAGATTTAACCTCAAGCGCTATCGAGCTTCTGATCCGGATGACCTCCCACCCACACTGTTCAAAGACGGGTTGAAATAGACAGCCAGCGCTTATGCGATCTGTTTGCTTGCAGTCGGGAAAAGAAGACTGTCCAGGGAACTGGAAAGAGTCGGTGGTAATGCCCATTTTAAAAATGGGGCTCGTAGTGAGTGTGGCAACCACATTAAGATCAGCTTAACCCCTGTCGTAACGGAAGGCCCGTGGTTCGAGCCCAACCTATGCCTCTCGACTTCCCCTGTCTGGGCTTGGGCAACCTGCCAGTATCCCAGCCCTCACGCTTCCTTTGAGTGGCATGGCAGCTAGACAGCTAGGCTAGAACAACGTCATACGTATAGACGATTTCAGTATTCATGGATTTTCAAGGAGCAGTAGACGCGGTTGACCGGTCTGTTCTCCTTGACAAGCTGGCCCAAGGAAGAAACCCCCGGAAGTTTGTGAATGTATGTTTTTTGTACTTTCAGACTTCCGGACGTACGAGTATACGGAGAGCTCTCTGAAAGATTTCGGACACAAAGCGGTACACATCACAGGTGCCCACTGTCATGACTATATAACCCATACATTAACTGAAATCCTTGCTAAAGACTGTGAATTCAAAGCAGTATCTGCTGTGGAACATACAAACGAAGCAGTTCGGGATGCTCTGATAACCGGGATTCAGTCGAATACCATTCGGGAGAAACTGCTAACGTGGCATGAATTAGACCTTGACAAAGCCCATGAAGCCGCGCGAGCTCTCGAACTTGCACAAAAACAGTCACAATCATACGTATACAGACAACCCGTTACTTGTTCGGTATCTACTCCTTTACCCATTGTTAATTCCGAAACAACAGTTTCGGCCGCTACACAACAAACATGTTACTTTTGTGGCAACCCCAAGCACCCTCGTTATAAGTGTCCCGCTAAAGAATCAGTGTGCAAGAGTTGTGGAAAAATTGGACATTTTCAACGTGTCTGTAGGTCCAAAGCCTCGAAATATCACGCGGGTTCAGCTCAAGACTCCTCAATCTCCTCGCTATTTTGTGCTGCTGCTCCCAATTGCCTATCCAAAACTACAACAGATATTTTGGTCAACGGCGTTGTTGTCCGAGCTCTCATTGATACCGGCAGCTCCAGAAGTTTCGTTTCTTCATCAATCCTGCAAACTCATAACTGGGAGCTATTTCCGTACGACTCTGTGATAACAATGGCGTCGACGATACATTCATGTTCCACCAAAGGTTATTGCCTTGTGTCCATTCAGTACAAGGATGCTATATACGAACGTTTCAGACTTTGTGTATTACCGAACCTTTGTGCAGACGTCCTTCTCGGACATGACTTTCTGGGGTTACATGATAAAGTCGAAATTCCATTCGGTGGTCAACGGGGTACCCTAACTGTATGTGGCGTAACATCCGCAAAACTGGAATCTCCATCCTTATTCACCAATCTTGCTCCAAATTACAAACCGATCGCCACAAAATCTCGTCGTCATACACCGGAAGATGAACAATTCATACAAACGGAAGTAGACCAAATGCTTACCGATGGCATAATCGAACCATCAAATTCTCCGTGGAGAGCACAAGTGCTCGTTACCCGCAATGCAAATCACAAGAGACGCATGGTGATAGACTACAGCCAGACAATCAATCGCTTCACCTACCTTGACGCTTATCCTTTACCAAGGCTCGACCAAATGATTGAAACCATCGCACGCTACACTGTCTACAGCACACTGGATCTCCAGAGTGCATATCATCAGGTTCCAATAATCGAGTCAGACAAGCCATTCACAGCGTTCGAAGCTGGGGGGAACCTATACCAGTTTCGGCGCATTCCTTTTGGAGTGACAAACGGGGTCGCGTGTTTTCAGCGAACGCTGAACAATATAATCAAAGCCGAACAGGTAAAAGACACATTCGCTTATATCGATAACGTCACTATATGCGGCAAAACGAGAGATGAACATGACCGTAATCTTAGGCATTTTCTCGATGTCGCAAAAACATACAATATTACTTTGAACGATACGAAAAGCAGCTTCGCAACTGAAGAGATTACTCTCTTAGGTTACAAGGTCTCCAAAGGTATTATAAGACCTGACCCAGAACGCATGCGCCCCATAAGAGAACTCCCACTTCCAGAGAACGGGAAATCGCAGCAAAGAGCCGTTGGTTTGTTTGCCTACTATTCACAGTGGATACCGGCGTTCTCTGACAAAATTCATCCATTGGTTAAAAACAAAATATTTCCGCTCCCGGAGAATGCCCGAACAGCATTTGAGAACCTTAAACACGAACTAGAAAATGCGATGGTAGTTACTGTCGACTACAATATTCCTCTCGTTGTTGAAACTGATGCGTCCGACATCGCTATTGGTGCATCCCTGAGCCAGGGTAGCCGGCCGGTCGCCTTTTTCTCCAGAACCTTGACTGCAAGCGAGAAAAATCATTCTGCTGTTGAAAAAGAAGCATATGCTATAGTTGAAGCGATCCGCAAATGGCGCCACTATCTCCTCGGGAGACATTTTAAATTGATTACGGATCAACGTTCGGTAGCCTTTATGTATGGGAACCAACAGAAAAGTAAAATAAAGAACGACAAGATTGAACGGTGGAAAATCGAGTTGGCAGGGTACAACTACGACGTCGTCTATAGACCTGGAACAGATAACCGCGTTGCTGATACCCTATCTCGTAACCTTTGTGCCAACATTACTGGGACGGAAAAACTTGAAGAGCTTCACAACATATTATGCCATCCCGGGGTCACGAGATTTGCACATTTTGTTCGTTCTAAGAATCTTCCTTTTTCAGTCAGCGATATCCGACGTGTGGTGTCCAACTGTTCCACTTGCTCCGAGCTCAAACCAAAATTTTGTGACACCTTTCGTGGCCAGCTTATCAAAGCCACACAACCGTTCGAACGCCTTAGTATCGACTTTAAAGGCCCACTTCCCTCAAACACTCGTAATAAGTACCTCTTAACAATCGTTGACGAGTATTCTCGATTCCCTTTTGCTTATCCCTGCGCCGATACGTCCTCTTCCACTGTAATTCGTTGTTTGAGTCAACTGTTTTCACTGTTTGGTATGCCTGCTTATATTCACTCAGATCGCGGTTCTGCATTCATATCAACTGAACTCAAACAATTTTTGTTCGATAAAGGCGTTGCCAGTAGTCACACCGCTGCATATAATCCACAATGTAATGGTCAGGTTGAACGACTTAATGGTACCCTTTGGAAGACCATCTGCCTGGCTCTAAAATCGCGCGGCTTGCCTGTCACACATTGGGAGGCTGTCCTCCTTGATGCTCTTCACTGTATCAGATCCCTGTTATGTACTAGTATCAACTGTACCCCACACGAACGTTTTATGCCGTTCACACGACGATCAGCCAACGGTGCCTCCCTACCTACCTGGCTTACTGTCCCTGGGCCAATCCTTTTAAAACGCAATGATCGAGTCTCTAAATATGACCCTCTGGTAGAGGAAGTGGAACTCGTCTCTTGTAATCCACAGTACGCCCACATAGTTCGTCCAGATGGCAAACACGAAACCGTATCCTTGCGCCGCTTGGCTCCCAAAGGCAACGACATGACATCTGACACAGAACAGGAACCAATACATATCGCCGAACAAGAGGAGCCTCACACAACACCAACAATCCACCGTGGTTGCTCAGAAACTGAACTGTTGCCTATTAACGATGCCTCGCCATCCCATTCTAGTGCAGATCCAGGAAATCACTTGGACATTCTTATCCGACAACAGCGCACTCACCCATATAATCTACGCAACAGAGAGGCGTAAACGACTCCATGTATCTATTACAGCGTTTTATTTTTTTACATTCTTTCTCCGCAAAGTACACACTTATTCCAAGGCGGGGAGAATGTCATGACTATATAACCCATACATTTGCATAACCCATTAACTCGTGATTCTTACTCTATTTTCAGCTCATGTACTACAGTTATTAGACGATTAAAGCGTACATTACGTCTTCCTATTCTGTCTCCTTTCTAATCCCGTCCTGGAACTACTCGACTCTCGCAACACCCACCCTCTCCATTCTTATCTAATTTCGTGATCGATGAGATAAAGCGGATGCTCGGAAGTCTTAAGAGCCCAGGCGTTCAAATATCCTCCGGTGAAAACCTTATCGATCTGGAATATGTAGACAATATTGTTCTCGCCTTCGAAGAGGTGTAGGTGTTTTCGGATGAACTTACCAAAGTCCATTGGCATAAACCTTATCTGGAATATGTAGACAATATTGTTCTCGCCTTCGAAGAGGTGTAGGTGTTTTCGGATGAACTTACCAAAGTCCATTGGCATCCACTTTGAACCCACAAAGTGTAAGGCCATGCTCCTGAACATGCAGTCACTGAACACGTCACTCTCAATCCAGGGATAAGCATTCGAGCGTATCAGGTACGTTGGGATATGCCAATTCTGATTGTAACGTGACCGATGAGGTCAGTGCACGAATCTATAAGGCCCGAGTTGCAATTGCTAATTTGAGGCACCTATGGCATCAAAGCCGTATATTATCGAATCTCAAGAGACGTGTATATCAGACTACTGTGCAGGCTGTTTTGTATTGCTGTGAGATGTGACCTGCTCGAGCAGCGGAACTAAGACGTCTTAAGGTGTTCGGCAACCGTTGTCCCAGGACAATAGATCGTGTGGGTTGGTCTCGGAAAATCCACGATGAGTTAGAAAGCAAATTTTCAGTTGCGCGACGGGGTAGTCCATTGAAGAATGTGTCCATCACCAGAAGCTGCGTTAGTTAAACCATGTACTGCACATGTCGAACTATCGTTTGCCGATGAGTGCTATTTACCGTGCCTATTTCAGAGCGCCGGAACCCTTGACCTGGCAAAAGGGTATGAGATTGCGATGCTACCAGCCTGGAGACCGCGTGATCCACGTTGTGCCTTGCTGAAGACGCTGCAAGATATGACTGATAATCGACGTCAACGGCGTTCTTATTGTTAGTTTCTATCCGGATTGCCTACTACAAATAAGTTCATCGCCCGTCAACCATTATTCTTTTTTTCACAATTAGATTTCAAATGAGTCATGGTTGTACGAAGCATAGTGATGAACACCGACGCCATGATCTCGATGATGATGATAATGACCGAATGGTTCGTGGTTCAAAACCGACCTCTGCATATCGACTTTTCCTGTCTAAACTCGGGCAGCCTGACAGCATCCCACTCTGTGCTTGGCGTTACAGCGACGCTAAATAACTACCCTTGCGACATCCTGTTATACCACGGGCAATCAAAGACGCCATAACTCAGTGTTCCCGATGCATTGGGGTAGTCCAATTCGCACAGATTGGATTACGTTTCCATTTAGGGAGTCTCCTTTCTAATCCCGTCCTGGAACTACTCGACTCTCGCAACACCCACCCTCTCCATTCTTATCTAATTTCGTGATCGATGAGATAAAGCGGATGCTCGGAAGTCTTAAGAGCCCAGGCGTTCAAATATCCTCCGGTGAAAACCTTATCGATCTGGAATATGTAGACAATATTGTTCTCGCCTTCGAAGAGGTGTAGGTGTTTTCGGATGAACTTACCAAAGTCCATTGGCATCCACTTTGAACCCACAAAGTGTAAGGCCATGCTCCTGAACATGCAGTCACTGAACACGTCACTCTCAATCCAGGGATAAGCATTCGAGCGTATCAGGTACGTTGGGATATGCCAATTCTGATTGTAACGTGACCGATGAGGTCAGTGCACGAATCTATAAGGCCCGAGTTGCAATTGCTAATTTGAGGCACCTATGGCATCAAAGCCGTATATTATCGAATCTCAAGAGACGTGTATATCAGACTACTGTGCAGGCTGTTTTGTATTGCTGTGAGATGTGACCTGCTCGAGCAGCGGAACTAAGACGTCTTAAGGTGTTCGGCAACCGTTGTCCCAGGACAATAGATCGTGTGGGTTGGTCTCGGAAAATCCACGATGAGTTAGAAAGCAAATTTTCAGTTGCGCGACGGGGTAGTCCATTGAAGAATCTGTCCATCACCAGAAGCTGCGTTAGTTAAACCATGTACTGCACATGTCGAACTATCGTTTGCCGATGAGTGCTATTTACCGTGCCTATTTCAGAGCGCCGGAACCCTTGACCTGGCAAAAGGGTATGAGATTGCGATGCTACCAGCCTGGAGACCGCGTGATCCACGTTGTGCCTTGCTGAAGACGCTGCAAGATATGACTGATAATCGACGTCAACGGCGTTCTTATTGTTAGTTTCTATCCGGATTGCCTACTACAAATAAGTTCATCGCCCGTCAACCATTATTCTTTTTTTCACAATTAGATTTCAAATGAGTCATGGTTGTACGAAGCATAGTGATGAACACCGACGCCATGATCTCGATGATGATGATAATGACCGAATGGTTCGTGGTTCAAAACCGACCTCTGCATATCGACTTTTCCTGTCTAAACTCGGGCAGCCTGACAGCATCCCACTCTGTGCTTGGCGTTACAGCGACGCTAAATAACTACCCTTGCGACATCCTGTTATACCACGGGCAATCAAAGACGCCATAACTCAGTGTTCCCGATGCATTGGGGTAGTCCAATTCGCACAGATTGGATTACGTTTCCATTTAGGGACCTTCGTCTTATCATGGAAGTTTCCAAAGTTCGAACGAGTGAAACTCACAAACGGGGAGTTGCGTGTACTCGAGTACAAGCTTTTCCATGAAAGAACTAACGGAGGAATAGTATTTTGCAGGCAAACAATGTGCTGAAACAGGGCTAAGGGTGAACTTACAGGAACACCAGGTATGGGTTTTCCATTAAGTTTGAGCATACAGTCTCTCGCAGAAGTCGCATTTGGAAACTCGATGAAGCCATAACCCATGTTTTGCCCAGTGGCCTTGTTTCGGATAACCTTCACGCTAACAACAATCTCACCAAGGTTCTCAAGCGTTCGCTTGATGAAAACCTCATCCATATAAGATTCAAGCTGAACGAGTGGACGTAAGACCAAGAACAACATACATCACCCATCCAAATCGTGTTTGAAAAATTTTGCATGCTCATCGTTTCGTGAAGATCGTGACGTCGACGCCTTTGCACAGCCTCTCGCCGAGCACCCAAAAAAACTTGGACCGGTGATTGGTTGACCGAAGTCACGTCGGTATCATACGGACTGCAGAGGATTCCACACTAGATATGCCGTCCCGTTCATGTTCTGAAAGCCTTTTCGACCAGCGCCGCAGCAAAACGAAGTTGTCTATGTATTTTTGGAGAAGCAAATCGTGCAAATCAGCCTGAGTTAAGGACCGATGGATGCAAGATGACAAAAATTCCAATGGGTTCAGTGAGTTTATACAGAGGTCGAAGGCTGGGTGTCCACGGGATCATGCTTTAAAACGAGTGGTTGAAAGGGAGGGTATCAACCCGGTCAATCGCTTATGCTCATCACGTGTAGGAGAATGTTAAGAACCGTTGACAGGTGTGGTCTTTTGTACCATTATTTTGCTTTCATTATAACACTACGTATCCCGTCAATTGCGTAATCGTTTTTTGTTTGAAAACAAAAAACGGTAAAAACGTGCACTTGTACAAAATTCAGGGAATACAAACGTGGTCACGTGTTTCGACTCTCTTCTGAATGCACTCGCGCATGCAGCGGTTATTCGCGAGTCTCTTGTGCTAATTCTGGTATCAAAACATTTCAGACCATCTTAAGAATCTATTTTCTGTGAGAACTGTTCAGAAGGAGACCCCCGGATTATTGTTTATTTGCTGACCTGGGCCAACGACGAGCTATTTTAAAGAGAACAATTATTAGTGAGTCTGTTCCATGTGACCTCTTTATTATTGTGTACCAAGTCTAGCGTTATTATTTTTATTTCTTTGCCACACAATTCTGGTAGAGTAACTTATTGGGTAGCCAGATCACTACACAGGATACCAAAACTCCCATTGTTTCCCAGCAGCACGCTAATCACCCGGAAAGGCTTTGTACGTTTTAGTTCGTTTTCCTTTTGTTCTTCTTTCTATATCTGCTGCGATGATGTTCTACTCTTCCCCATCTATCTTACTGTTCATTGGATCAGGACGCGGATTAAATTGCCTTAATCCGGCTTGTGCTTTATGTACCAGGCATTTTCTATGCCCCGCAAACACCGGCAAACTCTATTGATGGATGGCATTTTTCCCATTTTATAATCTGTTATAGCAAAGGTTATTGTCACACTATTCTGTGAGCTCCCTCGCCAAACGTGTTTGCATCTGAACTACTGGGACAAACAGGGCGACGTTCGTTCTCATTCACGGACAATATGCAGGGGAAAGAATAACAGGATAAGAATATTCCCGTTCAAAAAAGTTCGTCTCCTATGATTAATAATAATTTGTTCATTATCCAACCTATAAAGTGCATACCGATTTGGGTATGATCAGTCGCTCAAGGTAGACGTGGTTGGCAACCGCACAACGAGGGAAGCTAAAACCAAAAAGTCAGGCCTACCGCGTCGTAAGCAATCGTATATTGTGGAAACCAAAAAGCGGAATCGGGCATGAGGTGTGACTGCTTCAATGATGAAGCCGACTGATTTGACGGAACCTGAAAAACCGCCAGACACTCAAACCTACATTCATACGTGTCTGAAAACATAGTTAGGTGGTGGGGGAGAAATAAGCACATTATTTAAGCATTAATGGTATTTTTCTGAGACCTCAAGATCTTCCCATGTGGCCACAGTGTTTTAATTTGTTCAGACCTACTCGAGGCCGGTTATGGGTGCGGAATTCATATTTTTGCCATGGCTGAGCACGTTACGTCCGCAAAGAAGGTAAATGATGCATATTCAATCGTTTTGAGAGAGTGCAAGATCAATAATTTCGTAATTTTTGTCCGAAAAACTGTAAAAAAAAAGTGCAGTAAATCATCACTTTTATACGACAAACGTCCCACCGTATCAGCAGGTGCTTCTGCAGATGATGTCAAGGCAGGGATCAAAGGCAAACCTCATACTTGCCTACCAGCTTATCTATGTGGTGGGCACATTTATTCACGTATGTATTTTTATAAGTCTTCGGAAGCTGACAGAAAACGAGATACCTTCCTTGCTAGGAAGGCCACGCCATCTCTTCCAACCCCCGAAAGACACGGGTATAGCGTGGCATCAGTTTGTACGCCAAAGGTAGATATACACTGCCCCTACCGCTCTTTGGGCGAGAAACGTAACCCATAAGTTCGGCGAGTATGCAAGCGCTCCAGTGGTATTCTGCCCGTGTCCCCGCTCGGTATTCGCAAAATGGGATAGATTTCAGGCAGTCACGAGGTTTATAAGGTTACCACTACATAGTAAAGAATTTTTTGTCTGACGAAATTTTTTTTACAAGTTATCTTTATGGAGGATTTTTCTAAGTGAATGTTCAAGGTAATCAGTCGCTGAAGGTTCCCCTGTAACAAAATATTGCACGCTGCATTAACACGGACGTAGACGGAAGGTGGTTTTGTTGCTGAAGTAATTCACTGAGGTTTCCGGAATTTACGTTGTGGTTGTGGACGCAAAATATGCCAGAATGTTATTCCTGGAATCTCCTTCTTTTATGTACATCCGGCTTGACTGGATGAACACAAAATTCAGAGTTCTGGGATTTCAATTAGTGTTGTTTTGAGTTATTGTCGCCGTTTATACATTATTTTTGGATAATTCGTGCAAAATTTTGAAACAGTAAGGCTTGTAGACGGTAAAAACTTATGCCCGTCGGTCATTTTCGGTGGTAAACTGCAGTAGTCTTCTCCACTGTGACTGGCAAAAGAGTCCAGAGCGGTAACGTTGTTGAGTAAATTGAACAGCTGAACGAACCCGTTTGAAGCACATGATTAAAATGCGTTCCAGGATGCCTAATCAGCTGGTCACATGGCACCTACGTCCATCATGGCGGATGGTCATACGGACAAACACAGAACTCCGGGATACACCGAGTTGACAACCTGTTTGCCGGTTCCGGTCAACCTGATTATGTGTTCATTGTATTGTTCTTGGACATAAACCTATTACCATTATTATAACAGAATAAGAAGTCTTCCTTACGGAACGTTTAACAGGAAAACTGTCGCGATTCCTTGATGGTCAAAAATAAATTATTCATCTGTGCAATTACTTTTGGACGAGCCTGGAGACTGTCACCGCACACTGAGCGAGATCCAAAAAAGGTCGACGGGAAATGGTACGTGATCCGTTGCCAGTCCGTAGTCACTACCACTGGTCGGCCGCGGACAAAGTACTCAAAACTCAAATCAATGTTGACAGGCCACCATCTGGGCTGAGAAGCAGCATCCTCGACCAACGGCGACAGGTCGTTAGTCGCAGAGGTCCAGCCTTGACGCAGCAAGATTTGATGACGCCTTCAGCTTTGCTGGATTTTAGTCCCGGATGTTTAAACATCACAAAATCAGTTGTTTCCACAGGCTGTCAAAAAACAACGGCGAATGCTTCGGAACAAGCGTGAGAGGTATAATTTGCTAGGGCAGGCTGTAATCAGATAGTCACTGATGATGGAGGAAGTGGCAACTTTTACAATCATCGATTTGCGGATTCACTGATTGATACACTGGATCGAGGCTTTTGCCCAAGTTTCCCGGGTCGGGTTTGTTCTTGTCGGTCAGTGGCTGTCGTTCACCTGAAAGGCACAAGTGAAAAAAGGGTGTAGCACTGCTCTTTATGTTATCAGCGCGGGGCAGTTTGCTTGTCAGCGCGAGGATTCGCATAAATAAATGTCTAATAGTGCTTTAAATTGGGTTCGAGAAGGAGCGTGTACAACCGTCGGAGGAAGGTCATTCCACGCAGCTACCACCCGAAATGATAAAAAATTTTGTCTAA